GTAACTACAGAAACAAGCCGCAGGGATTAAAAAGAAAAAAAAAAAAAGATGAGAGTCCGGGATAACTCCCAAAATTAAAAGAAAAAAATGAAACAAAAATTGATTTGGCGGGACTTTTATTTCATGGACCGAGCATCACAAGACGACCAACCGTGTGCTCGTGAATATACATATTGCCCGCACCAACAAAAGGAAAAGCGAAATTAAAATAATTAAAAAAGATTGCGCTGTTCCACCAGCCCACACAACATCCCTCACATTTCATGCGGCATCCGGCCTGTTCTTCCAATCCTCATTTCGTGCTGTCCGTGAGACTCCACAGCCGCAGGGCCGGCAACACGTGTGGGCGAAAACAAAAGCAAACAAGAGCGGGAAACACTTCACTCATTACAGTGTGCAGCAACCGAACACTACGCAAAGAAGAAACAACAGTACCTATTACTCCAGCTGAACTACAGTGAAAAGACACCAATAAGTAAAAAAATTAAAGAAATAAGAGATAAGTTAAAAAGTGCGGGCAATGCGGCACGCATTCTCCGTGAGGCGTCGCAAATCCACACTCTGTGGCTCAGAAGGCTGCCACCACCCAAATACAATCCCAGAGGAAGAAGCAACACACAAGACACGCACACACGCACGGTGCTGTTGCCGCCTAAATCACGCAGTGTCAATTTCACGTCGTTGAGAGAGGCGAGGCGGTCGTCGGGACTCACGCCGCTCCACACCCTGCGAGGTGACTGTTTGTAGTGGGATTCGTGTCCAGGGGCGTTGTGCCCATTCATTTCCCTTCCGTAATATCCCCAGCAACGCGCTCTCTGACGCTGTCAACTACTCGAATCCTCTCGGGTGGTGTCGGAGCCGCATCCCTCGTCGGAGCGGGAACCCTGTCCTTGAGTGCACGCATCGCAGTGGAATTCAGTGGGCGGCTCTAAAGAAAGGCGTCCGTCACCGTCACGTGGGATTCGTGCCCGCCGCACGCGTCAAAGCGGACCCTCAGGACATCAGGTGGCTTCTCGCCTGCCAACGGCACTTCTTCCTCCCCCAGCGACTGACCATCAATGTGCACAGAGGCCTTGTTGCCTTGCAGCATAAGTGCCACTTGGTATTCTTTCCTCGGCTCCCAAGTGCTGCTCCGTGTTGTTGTCTTGCCTTCGATCGACGTCTACCACGTTTTATTGTGGCTGTACGAGAGTCCCACGGTATGATTGGACGCAGTGTCCGCCAACACCGCAGTCAGTAGAGGCGTGTTCCCACTCGGAGTCTCTTCGATGGTCACCGACACCACAAGTGTGAAGTTGTGGCTCAAGAATACATGACGCACTTCATCACCCCGAGTGTTCACAGGCCATATTGCCCTGGACTCAAGTCCCGTCAATTGAAACCCATCGTTGTCCTTCGCTGCATTCGTCACCGTCGCATGCAGGCAAAGGTACTCGTCGTTCCACGGGTCATCACTGGCCACATCGGAGAAAACTGCCACAAGACCCGCCGTGGGTGTAGACACGCTGGAGAAGAAAGTGTCCTTTTGTGCCCAAGTACTGAGGACGGAATTGATTCTACTCAGTTCATCCGTCAGGCGGGAAATTGAAATGACACTGCCCCCACCGTTGCCCCTCCGTTGTAAAAGATGCAAATTGCCATCCGAGTGCAGCAGAGTGCTGTCGAGCATCCAATCCGCGGCTTTGTCCACGGCAACCGGTCCAACAGAAACGTGTGGTTGTTGTCCGTGACCCAAAGGCAGAGCGCAGTGGCCCTTTTCTTCCCCGAGGCATGCCCTCTCTGAGTGCACAGCATGACCTTCCTTTCCTCAATGGTCGCGGTGATGAGGGCATCCACATGCAGGCTTTCCTTCTGAGAAACTCCTGATCGTGCGTTGGCCCACACGGCTGAGAGTGCCCGATGGCCTCCGTCCACGCTGTCCCCATGTCTCGCGACTCGTACACCCTCTGGCCATTCTCGCTGTTAACACTCATGAGAAGTGATCCCTCCCATCCGGTGACGCGGAGGTTAAGGCATTCCGCAGGGGAAATGTCCTCAGAGAGCGCCCAGGCACTGCCGCTGTCCGTCAAGCAAATGATCATGGAGCAAACGTATTCTGCTTCACTCTCCGCCATCAGAGGAAACACAAGCGTGGCATCCTCCATCACAACACCTGCGCCACCAGAAGCAATGAACTCCGTCCAGTCACCTTCGTGAGAAGCAGAACAGATCAGTTTCAAGAGTGGTTTGGGGTCGCCCCATTCGATCCGTCCACTCTGCTTGTCACCCGTGGGATTCGTGACATCACCCACAGCCAGTTTCATCTCCAAGCCGCCCTCTCTCCAGCACCCACCTTCGTAGGACACATCAGAGCCTCCCGCAAGAGGAAACACTCCGTTGCCCTTTGAGATTGTTGTGTGGCGGAGCACAACACCCAAACTCTCCTTTCCCTCCGCTGCACCAAGCACAGTGTGTGCCCTCCATGTATCCTTTATTGACCTCACCAACAACAGTGGACCAATTCCACGCAGAGTCGATGTACCCCGCAACAACATCAGAAGAAAAGGGCTTACTTAATTGACCACCTTGATATTCGGCATTCATGTGAGCCTCGGCGAAAGCAGCAATTACTCCACCAGCACTGATGAGAGAGAGTGAAGCAAACGAATCCCTCGTCGTAACTGGAACAACCCCACCTTCGGCTGCACCAGCGTCTTCTGCGGCACAAACAATTTCTTCTTTTTAGATCCCCGCCCTGACTTTGGCACCACAGCAGGCTGCACGGTGTTGCAGCACACCATCATGACAAGGAGAAGCAGCACCGCGGAAATAAACAAACGCCGGGACATGTTGGGCCTCTGCGGCTCACTCTCTCTTCCTTCCCTCCTCCTTCCGCTGGATCCGGTCACGCGGCGACGGTTGTGTGTACGGGGTGCCATGACAGCAGCAACACGTGAGAGCATATAAATATATGTGTGTGTGGGCGGTGTGTGTGTTGTTGGTCCTTTCAGAGCCTTCGAATTTCACAGTAGCGATTAGCGCTTGGTCGTAGCTTCCTTCCTAGCCTGAGTGCGCTTGTGTGCAAGAAATCAAATTAATATTCAAAAAGCACCAAAAGAGGACGTGGCAGGGAAGTGGGTGGCGCCACCATTCACGGCGTAACACATCCGCTTCGTCGTAACCGCCACAGTAATTACTCTCTCCGTCCACAACGGCTCAATCACTGCGAGGCCACACACAGAAGAGACATTGACGTTTGCGCACAGGCCAAGACACCCTCCGGCAAGCGGCACCAACCAACAGACAGCCAGCAGACAGACAAAAAAATTAGGAGCAAGCAAAATCCCATGTGCTGTGGGATCCTTGCAAGCAGCGCTCCCTCATTGCAGGACCTTTAAAGCGTTCCTCGCTGCAACATCCTCCACCACCTCGGCGTGTCGGTGGATTTTCCCGTTCACCGGAAGAAACACGGCGAGATGTGTCGGCAGGGGTCGCGGACACACAGAGCGCACCGTCGACGCGATCAACGAGCGCAGACACTCGTGAAGTGCGATCCCACAACCGCGATCCCTCCATTTACTCTCCTGAACGTGAAGGAGGCATGAAGTGTCCTCTTCTCTAAAGTAGTCCTAAAACGCAAAAAAATTCCGCAGGACATCCCGCGCAGCCACGGCCTCCTCAGCAGCCTGACAGTCCACGCCGTCGCACCCCTCCTCAAGGGGTCGCCAGGCCCGGTAAGGCAAGCAAAGGGAGACCAGCAATTTGGTCAGAGCGTTCAGAAAAATGAGGCGCAGCAGTCGGGTGAGCGCGGCCCATCCACGTCCTCCCCCTCAACCGACCCACCACACAGTCGAATCACATCCCCTGAAAGGAGCCGTGGTGTATAAAAAAATAGCATGCACAATAGCACTTCCTGCTCTCCTCAATGTAGTGTCATGGCACACACGAGGCATCACAAGAAGGGGACAAATCATTGCATTCCATCGGCATAAGCACGGAAATAAAGCGCGGATTTTGCCCCTGTGAAATTACATCCGAATCGTCTCAGCCACGGAGTTTGTGTCGCCAACCCTCAGAAAGGGCTGATGCATCAACTGCCGCTGACCGATCTCCGGCGATGAAACAAAAAAAGCCACTGTCTCTCGAGGTTCTTCGTCACCCTTTCCTCCCATTGAAGGGAAAAAAGCAAATTGACGCTGTGGGCGTGTCTAGCTGACAGAAGCGGAAGAAGTGACTCCAGCCGCGGAACAAATTGAACGAATCCTCCTCCCGAATTGTTCAAAGACACCGGTCGGACAGCTGCCGAGTTTAACGGCGCGGAGGACAACACCTTGAATGTATGGAGCACTGCAGCAACCTGAATATATTCTGCAATGTCCGCGGTCAATTCATAAACGTACAACAAAGAGACAGCAGGTTCAAAGGGGCGTGTGAACCTGTCAACAATCACCCGCGCCGGAGGATCGCCACCCCCACCCTCCAAGGGGACCTCAACGAAGTCAAATATTTCCACCGCATGGCACCCACAACACAATCGCGTGGCATAAAGCACTGCCTTGCAGCACCCCATGCAATGCAGCTA